TAAAAAAACTTGGAAAAGTAGAAGATCTACACTTTAATTTAGACTTGATCATGGTACTACATATGGTAACACATAGAACAGAGGTAATCAACTAAAACTTAACGAGGTCCATTAAACGTCCAGAATATAAAGTTCCACATGCATTATCATTCAGTGCGAGATACTCAGAAATAGCCCAGCAGTTGTGGAAGTGTCGGTAAACAAAGTACAATTTAATTATAAACTTCTACAATAAGCTGAAGGCTACTCTAATAACAAAATATTAATAAAATCGTATTTTCGCTTTTCACATGTAAACGATCTAAGCTTTAGACTCTCTTTTCTCTCTATCCTTCCCCTGACTTACTTTTACAGACTTCTGCATCTCGTGCCTTTATGCAGTCTCTGTTTTCACACACTCTCTGAGTAAAGGATTTGAGAGGTTGAGTAGTGTCACGTGTGATGAGTTAAAGCACGTGACTTGTCTCCTGTTTCCTGTGTGCAGTCAGTGAGTGCTGCAAAGGCGAAAGAAATGGTTGCACAGATTAAAAAAACATTACCGTAAATAGGAGAAATGTTGCATGGCGTGAAACAGAACTGTGTCTGACACGATCATACTGGGGATCTTCTCACTCAGTTGCATCATGTAGATCCAAGACTAGGCAATAAAACTGCCTTAAACCATTTACAGCAGTCTGAAGCTTGAGATTTAGCTTCACGCAGGTTGCATGTCCATACACGGACATCATAAACAGTCTTTGTATGCATTTATGTGATAGGTATCGAGCTGTTTGTATTTTCTATCTTAAGAATGTAAATGCTAGCTAGAGTAAAAGGCTACAGTTAAATGTACACGTGACTCAATAGAGGGAAGGCCTGGCTTCTGTTTGGGCCTTGTCGTTATGGAAACAACAAGTAGCCAGACTGGCTCTTTAGAAAACAGATATTCATCTAAAAAAAAAAAACAACAAATTAGTGTTCTTGATAAGGACAAGTAGTTGCAGAACCTAAGCTACAGCAATGGCTCATATTTATGAAAATGACAGGATCTTTTAAAGATTTTTTTCTATCAATTAAATGTTTAAATTCAATTGGAGGCTTAAGGTCCTCCTCGAGTGTCTAATGAGAGTTTGCAGTGAGGATAAAGCTGGGACTGATTTCACTGATGCATCAGTCTGGCACAAAACTCTGTTTTCTCACACGTCTGTCTGATGGCTGCTTTGTTTTTCTCACAGCACATTATTAGTATAAGCTTCATTTGCCTGCTCTGTAATGACAAGGGGATTCCTCAGCACTTAATTCCTTATGTTTGATTTGGCAGGATTTTTTTTTTTTTAAATGCCAAATTCCCTTGCTGACACAACGCTGAAAGGATTTGTCTCCCACAGATTATATGTATAAGTGCAATGTCAAACATCGAGGAATGAACATGAATAGACTTAAATAGGATTTAAAAAATAGCAATGTACGATGACTGACAAATTAAAGGAAAACCTGAACTCTTGACTCCCTACAATGTAGGAATCCAATGGCTCTGGTCAGCATTATGCTGGCATGGGAGGGGTCTTCTGAAACTTATGTTACAGTATTCACATCCACAAGCTGCCAAGAGATATAAATTTTGTTATCAGAAGGTGAACACAGGGCACTATATACACATACACATTTACATAGACAAAATTAGAAAATAGTACAGCAACTAGTTTTTCAGAGTCACCAGAGATCAACTCAGCCCACCTTTTTTTTTTTGGGGGGGGGGGGTGGCCTGATATAATGGATAACTCACTCCATCACCATCATCAAAACACAAAATGAAGCAAGAAAGGTGTTTCATGCTTCCTGTAGGATGGTAGTTTTTTCCCCTTTCATACTATCTACAAAAAAGCTACTAATTATTTGGCTTTTTAGATGATTCATACAGAACTCATATATTAAAAATAATTACAGATCTTTAAATACCTCCGCTTCCATTTGGGAGGTTTTATGTATCAGGGCGTAAAAATGATCTTTTCCGTAGTTCTTAAAATACAACTTAAGATAAACTGCAACACAAGATGTCATACTGTGCCATTATTAATTTAACAAACTAGTTAAAATGCAAAAGCAATGAGTGAAAAAAACAACAACAACTAGGGTAAGCACATAAATATTTGAATGAGTAGTAGCCAGTTGCTGCTACTCAAATTCACTTGATTATCATCAGCAAGTGTTTTCACCATTTTGGCAGTTAGCAGCACTCAAATGTGTTAACAAACGATAAGGTAGAAAAATATTAGAAGTGAGAATCATTCAAGACACAAAGAGTGGACCTCCAAGCAAATTCACCCAATGTCAGAAAAACTGAAAAAAACAAAAGAAAAACAAACCAAGAGCAACAGCTCAGACTCTACAGGCCACAGTTACCATGTTAAATGTTAAAGTTCATGACAGTACAATTAGAAAAAGTCTGAGCAGGAACATGGCAGCACAGCTTAGGTTTGCAAAGTTACAGCTCAACAAACCATAAGACTTGTGGGGGGTCATTCCTATTATCCACTGCCATTTGAATCCCTGTGACAGAAGTGAAAAACTGGTCATTACTTATTTCTGAAAGCGTGCCTTATACTTGTAACCCACATCTACCATAAAATGCAATTATATGTGTCAGAAATTATTTAACCATAATCCCACATCCCCAGTTACCTTTGTTTAAGGTCAGTTACCAAGTAGGTCGGTAACAATTATCACTGTTGCAATCCCTTGCATTCACAAGGACCACAGGAAGTGTCACTCTTTTGTTCTTTCAAAATGGTTCACTGATGTGTTAAAGCATAACATCCCCACCCTGTGACCCTTATTTACAGTTCAAACTGATATTGTTTTTGTAATCTTGATCATATGGATGATAAACATGTTGCAAATTCTTTTATTGTCTTCTGTGTGTGTATTTGCATGTGTGGTTCTGCATCACATGAGTAATCATAGCTGACTTGAGCATAAAACATCTACCCTGTTACTGCTTTGCATACTAAAATGGTAACGTGCACACACTACTGGGCAGGTTGGTCATTGATGCGATATGCATAATGTTTGAGTGTTTTTAATTTATTTTAAGCATGACTTGTACAGGTTTACCCTATAAAACCTTTTTTAGTTTGAATATTTTTCCGTGCAATCATGTAATATAAAGTGTTTCATATTTTGGTATCTAAACCACAAACGTGTCAGGCAGTGAGACTGCCCATGTGAGGAAGACTATTAAAACTATTACAAGTTGTGTTTACACGATAATGATAGTAAATTTGAAAGGAAGTACACTGGAATGATTTTATTTTTAATTTTTTATCTTGTGCTGTTGAAAAAATTAAAATAAGCAAGCTTTATAGCTGTTTGAGTTTTAGCTCTCTCTGAAATTTGAGTATGAATAACTTCAAAAAGGTGGACTGGTATTCCTTTCTATGCCAGGTGCAGCTAGCATAAAACTAGGAACATATTAACTTGTCATGAAATCTTTATTGTATTTAAAAATGATGTGTATGTTCTTGTTATCAAAACCAAAAGCAAATACAGGTGTCCAGGTATTTTTATTTAAATAATGTTAGAAACTTTTAAACATTTTAAATGATTATAATTTCATTAAACAAGGTGAATTAAGCATTTCATATAATGATGTAGTATGAGATTGTACAAATTTTGTTTGTTTTTTTGCTAATTGCTAAGCCCTAGCCATGAAACAAAATAGACCAAACTGCATTAAAATTTCTTTTCAATTCACATCTTTTAGATTAAAACTAGGTTGTACTTCAAAACAGATCATTAATTTTCTTTGAAATACTTATCTATTAACACCCTCTTAAAATACATTTCAGCTGTTAGAAAACATAAATATGAAAGTGACTGTACATTCAAACCCCTTAGTAATAGAGGTGAGATTGTCTCGTAACAGGGGGAAGATTTGACGTACATCACATGTGGAGAATTTGGACAGTTGTTATAGCATGATATCCTGACTTGAACAGTGTGTTTTTCTAATAGTTTAACAACCCCTATTTTACGTTAATTGATAAAATCATGAAAATCTTGACTTTTCTATCTACTATCTTGAAATCAACCAAATTGTAGGAGTGATCCAGTAACATCCATAGTGGAGAAAACCAAACAGAGTATATCATCAGAACTACCTCGTTTCAGCTGTCAAGCATGGTGGTGGAGAAGTCATGATTTGGTCGTGTTTTGCTGCCACAGGAACCATGAAAATACAACAGCACAATGATCCCAAGCATAGCTGCAAATCTACAACATAATGACTGAAAATAAGGGGGAAAAGTCAAGGTGTTGCAATAGTCCAGTGTAGTTTTGATTGAAATGCCTTTAAGAGAGATGTGCTTAAATGAATGCCAGCAAACCTCAATTAATTGAAGCAAAGTTATAAAGATTCAAGGCCAAAATTCTCAACAATGATGTGAGAGACTGAAGTCATAGAAAATTATTACTTTAAGTTACTGTTCAAAGGCAATCTGCAAGTTACTGTGTCATGGGTGTACTTAGTTTTTTTTTTCTTGGTTTTTGTGCAATAAATAATGACACAGTGTAATATGCTATGTGTCATATGTTATGTGTTTTAATGGTAAATGGAATGGTTCTATAGGGACATAATTGAACTTCTCCTAACCCTGTATTTCTATTTTGGTACCTGGTCATTATTACTACATGCATTGTGAATATCTCTCAATACAAAAATATAACAATAACAAATATGTAAATGTTATTTGACTGTGGTTCAATAAATGATTGCATATAAATAAACTGCAGTTATCTCATAGGTAGAATGGGCTTTAAAATTGCAATAACCCAGTTTCATCATGGTTTTTATAGCCCTCCATTTCATTCTCCACTGGTAGATGTAGCGACACTGTGCAAACTCGTAATGTTGTGTTTCACATACAGTTCTGTCTTTTTCAGCTACTGAGTGCTTCTGCTACTACCAAATAGTGCTTCATTAGTCATGCTTTTTAAAGTATTTGTGTACTGTTTGTTCCCAGGGCAAGAACAATGGTATGCAGATGTTGGCTGTGAGGTTTCCTGTGTCAAGAAGACGCTTCTACGCTGGGACATGACTCTCTACCTCAGTCCACGTGGAGTCCACGCCATCTTTTCTACCTCTTAGGACAGCTGCTGTTGTTTTATTTTTTCTGTTTTCTTCTTTCTTTCCTACCTCAGCACATACTTTATCAAACTTGTTATCAGCCAACAGACTTTCGTCTATGACCAGGCCTTCAAGTTTTAGTCACCCAGTCACGGTCTATCACAGTTGACTGGTTTTGTTCTTGCTTAGTAGCCACCTTCATCACAACCTACCCCCTTTGACGGCAGGAGCAACCTGAAGGAGCCATGTCACATTGGAGTGTGTGATGTTGGAGCCCTGTGTAGGAGCAGCAAGAAAAAACAGAGACAAACCAGGGTTGGAGCTGCAGAGACATTCCTCAGTTTGTGGTTGGCTATGAAAGTTATCAACGTGACATGGGCCAAATGGACGCAGGCATGAAGAACGAGTTGTTTCGAGAAGAGGAAATGGACGATGATGATGAGTCGGTAAGTAGCAAGTGTACAATATTAATATAGTTACCATACACTTTTACAGTGGGCAAAGAAGATCTCATTTTATAACAGAACAGGAAGCTGCAGTGTTGGACATTTTTAGGCATGAGGAAGTGACAGGGCTGGAAACTTATAAAAGTTATGTTTGGAATTGGATAATGGAAAAAGAAATGGAAACAAAAATACACAAAGAATGGCATGAGAACAGTGTAGCAGATAAACAGTGGTAAGGCTTCTGGGCCTTAGTGTCCTGTTGCTATAAATGGGCTATAAAGTCCTGATTCATTAGGAGCCGTAACCTTTGTCTCCATCTTTGAGATTCACAACGTTAGCTTGGTTAATAGGATTGTGGCTGACACTATATTGTGGAGTAATCTTGTATCCAATATATTCACCATAAATGTGATCAAGTGTCCTTATCAGAAAAGCTTTAGTTTCTTTTCGTGTGATGTTTAATGCATTTGCAAAGCTGCAAGAACCATCATATTTTTCAGGTTTCAGAAAGGGTAATTACTGACTTAATGTTCTAATGGTCATCCACGGTTGTTCTTCTCGCCCTGTGGGACTGTAGCGCTCATTACCCACAAGACGGGGTGTTGATGAAACTCCTATTTTAGGATCCTTATCAGATGAGGAAAAGTAATTCAAAGTTTGGCTCAAGGAAAGAGTGTGCTGCAATTTAAACACTGCTCTGTCCCCTCTGCAGTGGTCCTCTTTATTATCACACTTGTAGCAGCGCTCTGAGCTGGACTTTGAACAGCTTCAGTTTGTGTTTTTTGCACTTTTCAAATATCATTTTCAGGGTTTCTAAGCCGCAGTACTAATTAACAACATAATCTACTCTCTGCCCCCCAAAAAATCTATATTTAAATGTAATAAACAGTCAGAGGGAACTTTAGAAGCAACTGAAGGTGTCTTATTTCTCTGTCGGTCACTCTCTAAACCCTCACTGCTCACTCATCAAGTGAACACAGAAGAAAGAGAGCTTGCACTGTGCTTCCAGTTGGAGAGGAAGATGTCATAAATCAGTACTGTCTATAGGTTAGATACTAATTCTTTATTGCAAAGAATTAGAGAATTAGAATTAGAGTTACTTAAGCTTCAGCTCACCTGATTTTTAACAGTTACTGCTTTGAAGGAGAGAGATGTCATTTGGATAGTTAGTAAAATAAATAATAACCATAATTAAAATAAAAAGAATAAATAAATGTGTACCCTAACAAATATCTCAATATTTAAATATTTAGGTCGATCTCTACACAATGATTAGCATGCTAATGAGACATAAAAAGCTTTAGCTTAACTTAAATTTACAGCTGTGCTGTGAACTGAAAGTTAGTGATAGTTCAGTTAATGCTGCCCACTACATGTCTTCACTATACATACTTGTATAGTGCACATTTTCCTTTTTTGATAGTATTATTGTGGGTATAACCTTAACCTGCAGCTGTTTATTCCTACTCTGCCCACTTTGCTGCTGTAATAATGTGAATTGCCCAACTGTGAAAGTAATAAAGCCCATCTTTACACTGCCCGGCCACTCAGACATGTTGTCAGGGTCAACTGACTCTTGTCTTCTCTAGCTTAACCTTCTCTGCCCTCTTCCTTGCTCCACCAGCCCTCAGAGCGACAGATTGTGGTCGGCATATGCGCGATGACAAAGAAATCCAAATCCAAGCCCATGACTCAGATCTTGGAGCGCCTTTGTAAGTTTGACTACATTGATGTGGTCATCTTTCCTGAGGAGGTCATCCTGGAGGAGCCTGTGGAGAAATGGCCCCTCTGTGATTGCCTCATCTCCTTCCACTCCAAAGGTAAAAGTTGCAAACCGAAGCATCTGTTGTATGAGGAGAAATGCAAAGGAAATGCGAAGGTGGGAGGGAGACATGACTGGGGGATATTAGGGTTGAAACCTTACCTGGTTTAAGTTAGATTTGGAACGCTATTTTTTTCATCTATTTTTATTTCTTTACTTTTTGTGATTCATGTTTTATTCTTCTTTTCTTTTTGTACCTAAACAAGATGAGATGCTTCTCACCACAGATCAGTTCATTAGTAAACACAGGAAAAAACTGTCCTTTGTGAAACAGATCATATAGCAAGTACAGTAAAATAGTGCAACAGTAATAATGAAAGTCTCCACTGCAGACTGTAAATACCTGTTTATTAACCCATTTATTTTGACCACCTCACATGCTCAAGTTCACATTTATGACAAGAGACTTTCTGTTGATGAAATGTATTTGTTTTTTTTCATCTGCATCTTTTCATAGTGGTGTCTGATGAAAAAATAAACTTTGAAGGGTGTTCCAAGTGCATATTTTTATGATGTGGGGAAAAAAGGCAATATACAGCGCCTCTCCATATTCTGCCATTTCTTACAAACTTTCCTGGGGAAAGCTCAAATGAGTACCTACATTAGAAATCTGGAGGAAAACACAACTTTCATTTGTATTGCCCAAAGTCATTTCTGCTCTTCCAGATTTTTGAAGAATTTCATCCCCTCATGTCGATCGCATCTTCAAAAAGCAGGTTGAACATGGCCCTGCTAAATTATACCAACTTCATAACACGGAAAGCCTCAAACATCTTTATATATTTTTAAGTGCTGAGGCCATTAAAGGACATCATTTTGCTCCTGGGTGTCAGAGGGTTTCAGTGATGACTGTTTAAAACTTCAACGAACTGTAAATGCTTTTAAACACTTCCTGATTAAAAATTTATGCTCATTTCGGAATTGAAGTTAAAACATTTCCAACATTTGCATCTAGGAGATGTTCAGTTTTGTTCATCTCTTATTTGAGGACTCAAACACTGTTGTATATCCAGAGTTTTCAAAGCATAAAAAAAATCACGATTACTGTATTATTTTTAAATGCTGGTCCAGCTTGTACTGATGAAGATATGTTTGACTTTTTAGGTTTCCCTCTGGACAAAGCAGTGGAATATGCCAAACTTAGGAATCCACTGCTCATCAATGATCTCAACATGCAGTATTTCATTCAGGATAGGTACGTGTGAGCACACACGCACAGCTGAAGGTTATCACAATGTAAAAACGTAACTAGCTGATTTTAAAATTAGGCCTCAACTGTGTGGCCGCCAGTGAGATGGTGGCCACACAGCTGAGGCAGCTGTGCCTAAAGGGTCCTCCTAAAATATCAGTTTAACTCTTAAAGTGCATTTATCAGATGCTGTCGGATTTTCCAGAATGTATTTAAAAAAACAAACTCACTGTTTTGCTTGGAAGAGTTTTGATGTCAGTGAAGCTGAAGGGTGAGCTCATTCTTTGGAGCAGCTTGCAGGAGAGATGGGAATCATTTTCAAACATTTGCATTGCTCTCTGCCACGGTCCTCATGCAAACCCCCACACCTCTAAGACCGGCTTTTGCTTGCCAAAGGGAAATTCTAAATGTGAAATTCTTTCATGAATCTGATTTATTTGCATCTTTGTTTATTTTTTTTCCTGGATAATCAGAGCAGCGAGAGGTTGTGTGATGTGAACAACATTGCTATTTTCACATGTATTGCATGTTCCCTCCGACTTGCCCAGCTCTTGTATACATACACTGCACATGGCCACATTAAATAAACTGTGACGTTTGTTCTCGGAGGCTCACTAACTCCTATCAATCCATGTCAGGAGGGAAGTGTATCGGATCCTGCAGGAGGAGGGCATCGACCTGCCTCGTTACGCTGTGCTGAACCGAGACCCTGACAATCCTGAAGGTGGGCTTTTACTTTGTGTTAAAGAAGTATTTTCATTTCAACAGAATGAACACAAGATAACATGGTAAATCTCAAATGTGGTGATTTCTGCTACCGAATATCACATAGAAAACATCAGTAATCTAATTAACTGCCATCTTTAAGCAAAACTAATTTCATTCCATATGTAAACATCAATGCTGTGGATTTTCTTGTGCTTTTTCTGTATGTTTTAACTATTTCTTGGCAACCTGAATTTAAAAGCTTAAGTCTTGCCCTGTGCAGAGTGTAACCTGGTGGAGGGGGAGGACCAAGTTGAGGTGAATGGGGAGGTGTTCCATAAACCCTTTGTGGAGAAACCAGTGTGCGCAGAGGACCACAACGTCTACATCTATTACCCAACATCTGCCGGAGGAGGAAGCCAAAGACTCTTCAGAAAGGTACCCGTTTATCACTGAAGCTGGAAAAAATACCATGTTTTTGTTGTGACAGTTAGCTTAACATGCTGAACATTAAATATGGCTATATGTTTATTTTGGGGGCGGGGGGGGGTTTCTTCTTCTGTGTTTTTCTCTCTCTCTGCTGTAGATAGGGAGCCGTAGTAGTGTGTACTCCCCAGAAAGCAGTGTACGAAAGACTGGCTCTTATATCTACGAGGAGTTCATGCCGACAGATGGCACTGATGTAAAGGTACCGTTCATAGTTATTTGAGGTTTATACATTGTTGAACTGATGTGGTGCGAGCTACCATATTGGTCAAGAATAGAAAAATGAAATATTTCATCTGCTCTGAGACGTCTTCTGAGTCATTGGCTCTGTGCTGTTTCTTAGGTTTATACAGTGGGCCCGGACTATGCTCACGCTGAGGCCAGGAAGTCTCCAGCACTGGATGGGAAGGTAGAGAGGGACAGCGAGGGGAAGGAGATACGCTACCCAGTCATGCTGACCGCCATGGAGAAACTGGTGGCCCGCAAGGTCTGCCTGGCATTCAAGGTAAAAGACTCGTACAAGCGCACCATGTGTGAATGTAGTGAGTGTTCACTGTGAGCCGTGTAACCGCCGTGGTCTCTTTCTTGTTATTTTTACTGCTTCCTGTGCCTCGAGTGGTCAAAGACTGTACACCTGTTTATGTAACCCTTGTAGAGTCTCCAGATGTGGGGAAAATGATGAGTGAAAGGCGAAACTACTTAGATTTTTTTTTTTTTTGAATAAATGAAAGGAACTAAAATCATTTTTTGAGTACACAGTGTAGTAACCAGCAGAGAGGATTTCTGCTGCTTACTCTTCTAACACCTACAATTCATCATATACGACTCATAAATAGAAGAAACTCCTGCACTCTGAACAAAGTAAAACACATAACTGCAGCAGAAGGCAAAAATGTATTACTGCTAAGAAATGTAATGTAATGTAGCATTTTGTTCCCGTAATGAAATCTTAAAACAGCTTCTCAGTTGCTCTATTTTCTATCCAGTGGAAAACAACACATACGCACATTCTTTATGTCAAATGTCACCAAATTAATTCAAATGTAAAGTAGGATATATATATATATTTTTTTATAATCCTACTTCACCTGTTTAGTTGTTTGAATGTGTTTTCTGCTCAGCGGCTAACTACATTCTCATGCACTGTGAACTGGCTTTAATGCTTTTGCTTGTGTGATTATAGCAAACAGTGTGTGGGTTCGACCTGCTCAGAGCCAATGGCCATTCGTTTGTCTGTGACGTTAACGGCTTCAGCTTTGTCAAAAACTCCATGAAATACTACGACGACTGTGCCAAAGTCCTGGGGTAGGTGTCGCTGCTATACTGTGTTAAACACTGGACTGTGACTTAGATGGACATGCTCAATTTCAAACAGCCGTGGATTGTTTAGCACAAGGAAGAGCTGATGGAATGAGCTTTGCTTCGCATTTAGTCATTTTGTTTGTTTTTCTGCTTTTCTCGACATCTCCAGGAATATGGTAATGAGGGAGTTAGCCCCCCAGCTCCACATCCCCTGGTCCATCCCCATGGAGGCTGAAGACATCCCCATCGTCCCAACAACCTCAGGAACCATGTACGTAGAGAAAAACAAAACATTAACTAATTCTGAGGAAAGATGTTGTTGAGCAGGCCACTGTGTGTACTACACGTCTTTGTCTTATAAATTCCTTAAATGATTTTTTTTTTTTTTTAATTAAGGGTCATGTTAAAATATTTTTGCACTTAAAAATATTTTTAAGTGCAAAAATAATGAAAACATAAATTAGTTTTTTATTTTATTTAATTAAAAATTTTTTGTTGCCTAGTACTACATGGGATAAGAAGTTCCATTTTTCATTTCTCGTTTTAGCCTTCACTTAAAATTATTCTCAGATGGGATTATGCAAAATCCTCAAAGGATTCCCAGAATAATTCTTAAGAAAAAAAAAAAGTAGTAATGGGAAAATGACACAACACATTAACAGATGGATGCTTGGGTCCACTGAGATCCCAAACTCAGTTTAGTGTCAGTTTGAAGTCTCTGGTGTGTTTTGCTCATTTTGCCTCATTTTTTATTTCTTCAGGATGGAGCTGCGCTGTGTTATCGCCATTATCCGACACGGAGACCGCACGCCAAAGCAAAAGATGAAAATGGAAGTCCGCCATCCTCTGTGAGTCGCTCAGACTAAGCCTTGAGTTGCCTTCCTTCTTCCCTGTTCATACAACTTAATGCTTAGTTTTGTTTTTTTTTAATGTATAATAAAGTTCTGTATATGTGGAAAAATAAACAAGACAAGGATGGATATATTCCCCATTTCTCCCATAATTTACTCATGAGCGTGTCCACATATATACATAATTTAACATGAAAAAAGTAAACCTTGTGTTGTTAAGACATAACAGATACAGCTCACTGTCATGAGTAAATCATAGTATAGAAACATCTATTTACAGGATTTACAAGAAGCATAATTTATTAAAAGGAATGTGGAAGCAATTAGATTTATTTTCCACAGAATGAAATTAATGCATTTAGAGGATGACATACCCATATACCCATAATGAGTTTTGTCACCTCAGTACATATTAATATAGATGTGGTTTGATGATTAGTCAGAGTAGTTTCCGGGTTTCTCCGTGTGTGGCTGCATAGGCAGAGACCAGCTTATGATGCTCACTCAGTCATTTTGTTTTATAAGCCTGAAAGACTTCCCGAAGCATTGCTCCGAGTAGCCTTTCAAGGAGTAATATAGAAGAGAACAGATGGTAACAACAAGTTTATAAGCTACCTCACAAAATTAATGCTCACTCACGGCTTTGTATTGGGCAGCCACTGTTGAATGTTGCTGTGCATTTTATTTCAAGAACTTCCCCTCAGAAACTTTAACTCTGGGTCAATGATGGCAGTGTCTGCTGTCTGCAATCCTCCTGGTTGTCCGCTTTTCTGTTTGTGCCTGCATGGGTTTCCTCAGGCCGCTCCGACTAGAGTGTATGCGTGCATGTGTGTACACGTCACTCTGCTGGCCCAGTGATGGACTGGTGACCTGTCCACTGTATAAATAGAATTGGCTCCAGCTCCTTGCGAACTTTTGTTGGATAAACATTTAACATAAATGTTTTGTTTTTTAATTGTGTTCTGATATTTTTCCTCTGATTATCCTTCACCAGATTCTTTGAACTGTTTGAAAAGTACGGAGGATATAAAACAGGAAAGCTAAAACTCAAAAAACCAAAACAGCTGCAGGTGAGAGACAACAGTAATAATCTCCTGCTTCTTTTTTCCCAGGCTGTCTCTTATTTGCATATTTGTTTTTCTTTTGTTTGTTTGTTTGTTTTGACTGATTATGACTGAATCCTTTAACAATAATAAAGTACTTTTAAATATTCCCACATATCAAGCGTTATCATCATCATGGACCACAAACCTTCATTGTCTTGTTGTCTAAATATTTACACTCAGCTGTCTAAATCCCGTCTTGCACACTGCGTTCATGCCATCACTGCGTGCAGCTCAAGCTCCAATATTTCACCAGCACTCGAGTTTAAAGGTAAAAACCTCTGTGCTTCCAGGAAGTGCTGGACATCGCTCGCCTGCTCCTGGTCGAACTGGGTCAGCATACTGACTGTGAGATTGAGGAGAAGAAGTCCAAACTGGAACAGCTTAAGACTGTTCTGGAAATGTGAGTGACATTTCACCTGGAAAACAAACACACACACACCATCACTCATCACCCTCCTGTTTCCTGTCATCTCAGTCATCAGCAGATCAGCAGACTTTCTCATACTCACAGACACCTTCACCATGAAGATGCTCCCTCCCTCTTGGCTTGTCTTTAACTGCGTTATCTTTTCTTCCCTCCTCCATCCCTCTTTCCCACCCACCCATCCTTCCCTTCTTCACCCATCTGTTCTCTCAAAAGGGAATCCAGCTTGAATGACAATCAGTACGCACCCTCTCCCTTCTCACTTGTAAAGGATGAGGTTTTACTGGCCTCCTTTTCTTTAGCCAACCTAGACTGTGTGTACAAAATATTTGAAATATTACAGATCTTTTTATGTTTCAGGCAGACCAAAACTCTGAAACTTTTTCCCCAGATTTTACTGATTAAAACTGTAAAGAAAGCAGAAGATGGATTAGTTATTGCATTTTAAGATTAGGCATTTGGAAGATATTTCTAATGTTTTGTACACTAACTGTAGACTTAATTTCCATTAAAATTCATTCATTTGTAGCTATTAACACCAGACACATACACAGTCAAATGTCTCTGATTATTTCACTGTGTTTCTGTGTGTGTAAATCAGCGTGTGTGTGTGTGTGTGGTGCTACTTCGTGTGCATGCTTTCCTCACCACCTATCAGCTACACTCTAAACCTCCTAATGTCTTCCTTCCTCCCGCCTCAGATCTGCATTCTGGTAATTTGATGGCGCTGTACTCTGCACAGGAGCACATTAAAAATCATTAGAAAGACAGGGACGGTCAAATTTGCAAGAAAAGCACCGTTCAAACTACTGGCTGTTTAAACGCAGTGACATCACCATTTTTTTAGCCTCAGCGGTAACATTTTGCCTGACGCTATGTTTGTTTTTAGAAGCCAGAGGTTTACCACATTTGGATGAGAGGGTGAAGTACTCAGTTATCCAATAACACTAGCTAGCTTGATTGGCAAGCTGCATTCATAAACTGTGCGAGTGCAATGCAAAGATGCACACATGTGCAAATTAGTTTTTAGTAACAGTTTAATAAAATGCTAGAATTTCACTCAAACAGACTGGAGCACAGTCTTAGACAGACAGTACCACACAGCAGGGTTTATCATTTTTCAGATGATTTCATTAAAAGCGCTCCAGAAAGCACCACCGACGCTAAGACGGCAGGGCGGTCCATTTCAGTGTCTCTAATTAGCTTAGCTGAGACTTGGTAGACACCGGTCGACTACAGCGCTACGTGTCGGCACATTTGCCAGTTAATGCAGCCACACCCATGTTTCCAGTAACAAGGTTGTTTTTAAGAAATTCATCAACTGTAGAGGTGATAGGAAATCTGTTGTGACGATTCTGAGGCCAGGACTATAGTGTTTTCTGGCAGGCTGTGAAGCTGTGCATTTTATGTCAACTAATTTTACACCTTGATGTAAGTGGGCCAGACCAGTGAAACACCCTTTTCTGCTGGTGTAAGGAAGATTAACTAAACATTTAATTCGTTAGGCATTTAATTATAAGAACAAGAAGTGCAGTCTCAACAATACGTTTTAGTTTTTCTACAGGATAAAGACATCTGCTGTAGTACGTGAAAGACATCTATCAGCACTCTTTGGGCTTGGACTGTTTGGACTGTAAGAAATTAATGTGGAGGATTAAATGTCTCCTAGCTCATTTGCTCAGACTGTCCTGTTTTTGTTAATAGACAGAAAATGTCCTGTTTTTTTGTTTGGTTGTTTGTTTGGGGGTTTTTTTGGGGGGGGGCTTTCTCTCAGTTAATTGCTTATCTATTAATTAATTACTTATTTACTTTGGTGTCGTGTGAATGGCTGTAGGGGAGGTCTTTTACGGCTTTTTTACTAATGAGGTTATAAAAACGCAGTTAAAACTCCAAATTTTATACTCTCCTTTATCCATTCACTGGGCCAGACTGGAACCTTTGATGGGCCGATTCTGGCCTCCAGACCTTATGTTTGACACACCTGTACTAGAGGAACTGCAGCTTCTAACTTTTGATGAATAAATATAAAATTAAACTGTCAGTGAAGTAGAGAGGAAAGCCAGCTCATGTACAGTGACCAAGCGTTGCATAGCAAGGCCCTTAAGTCTGAAGGGCATCTATACGCGTGCTGTGAGCTTATGCAGTAGTGTAAGCTGTCCTGCTTTTTCAATCTAAAAAAAGCTATAAACAGTGATCATGTTGCTTCCATTAAGACACAGAGCTAGGGAGCTGGCCACTTTAACATCACGTGGAGCTACGCAGATGAGACCAAACCACATTTCCACATTTCTATAGGCGTCTGCACCTGCTTTCCCTTATTTTCTCCCTTATTATTTATAAACGTTGTTGCATCCTCCGATACTGCGTTTTAATCCAATAGTAGCAGAGTGTATGATCGTTGTGTCATTGAAAGTTGTTGCCTTGGTCTTATCTCTCTTAAGCTCGTCTTGTCATAAACATGGAATGAAAGTCAGACGTGTGTTTGCTGCTAAACATTTGGACGAAACTCTTGGATTTGAGATGAAATCTATTCGACTGTCTCTGTACATATGAAACTTTGTTGTGTTTGCTTGATGGTGTGTGTGTTCATCCCCCCCACCAGGTATGGTCATTTCTCAGGTATCAACAGGAAAGTCCAGCTCACCTACTTGCGGAATGGCAAACCTAAAGCATCCAGTGAGGAAGAAGGTATCGTACTCAGACACCGATTGTTGTGTGTGCTGGGTCACAGAGATAAATTATATGTAAACAAATACACACAAATGGTGATTGGAAGTGAATGTCAGTGTAATCAGTCATCAGTTAGTAACTGTGTTTTGGAGCCTCGCCTGCAGTGTTTTGGTTGCACCTCACCACGGACAACATTATTTGTCAGTATGGCACAGAAAACGTTTTGAGTTTTGATTATTTATATAAAGAAAAACCAAATGTTAAACTTTCTGCTTCTTGTTTCAGATTCTAAGAAGGATGGCCCATCTCTGCTGCTGGTGTTGAAGTGGGGTGGGGAGCTGACGCCTGCAGGCCGGGTTCAGGCTGAGGAGCTGGGCAGGGCTTTTCGCTGCATGTACCCCGGAGGTCAAGGTACCAGCCAGACACATGCTCTAGCCTATAAGATGTAGTTACAACGGCTCTCACGCCTTCTGCTCTGGTGTCAGTTTTCAGTCCCCCTTTGTAGTTTCTAAAAATGGCACGTTTGCAGTGCCAACACATGATAGGAGTCATACATGCACTGTGTGAAAAGAGGTCAGGCTGAAACGGCTATGTTAGAGTTGACAAGCCAGAGTTTCAGGCTTCCAGCTGCCGCTGCACTCTTTTTATCCCATTCATTGTCATTTGTGGCTGCGATGTTGTAGAAGGATTGCTGACTTACTGTTGCCAAGAGCAGGAACTTTAAAGTGTTACTCAACAACAATTTATTATTATAGTGTGGGACATTGTTTTGTAGTAATAAAAAACATTAGAAAGGCTACTTGTAGCAAATCTCTTAAGTTTACTGAAAAGTAAACTGAGGAGTTGCATACACAGCATCTGTAAACAAAAAATACTGATGCCTAAAGTAATGATGACTGCACATTTTTCTTCTTGGCGCAGCCCCTTAGCTCATCTGCTGTCTGAAACAAACTGTTTCAGATGGCAGTAAACTTTAAGTAAACTTTGCTGTGATTGGCCTGGACTTGCAACGAAAAAGGTGTAAACAATGGGGGGGTGGGGCTTCTGTGCTCACAGTCAAAGCTGTCCCAAAGACAATCAAATTAAAAATTTCACTGTTGTTAATATCGTACAGAGCAAACACTGGAAAATGTTTGGCCAGGTTTAGTATGAACAGCCAGCGCTGTAACAATGAGACAGAAGATAAGGAAAACAATGATAGGGATGAAGGACTTTGGTGACCTAGTTACACTGTTTATATATAAAAAGATTAATTAATTTCTTTAAGTTTAAAGAAATCCATTGCAGTTAATTGGTAGTAAAATAATCTTTAGTTTAAGGTGGAAAAATTAATGAGACTAATCTTGCCACTTTAGTACAATCACTCATGTCTTGCAGACACCTTCTGAGGACATTAAGTCACATTTTTACCTCAAGGCTTTAAAACTGTTTGAACAAACTGCTGCTCCATAACAGAGTGAACTCTCTCTGTTGATGAAGATCATGTGGTCTGCACCACAATAAGCAGGAATTATGACCTGGATTTAAGAGTATACTGTCAACACCGGCTTAAACAGTCTGATGTGAAAGGTCGTTGAGATTAAACAAAGATGCTGAGCTGCAACTCTAGTGAAGGCTAACAGTATCAGGACAAAAATGAGAATCAGAGGATCCAAACAGAAATGCAGTCAGTGGATGATTTATTAGGTACACATGTAAAATCTAAGCCAATACAGTCAACCTAGCTATAAAATTCATTATTACACTCGTAATGATAACTACTTCTTACTGACACACTCAGAGAGGTATTAATTTGGCTCTATTCATTCCTATAGTGTTGTAGATTCAATTATACTGATTTGTCCCACTCTAATAAAATTCAATAAAGATATAACTTTAATAAAGAATAATTCACGTAAGACTGCTGTAACCTTAATTCGTAGCCATTGTGCTGGATTGAATGTTCAAAAGCCAGGAAGTGTAGCCTCAAGTATGGGGGGAAAAAAAGAACTGCATACACATTTTTTTAAAGTACTGATTTAAATTCACGACATTCAATATTTTCTTTCTATTTTTTTTAAACAGTAACAGTACCTAAGCTGAAAATGCTGCTCGCACTGCCACCTAGAGGCTGTACCAAGTTGTCCTGCAGTTAGGTGTGGCCTCATCTGAGAACACCCAAAATGGGTTTTGTTCAGTGTTTTAAAACAGAAAAGCAGCTTTAATTTTTCTCTGTTCAGATTGAGCAGTAAGAAGTCAGCTGCATAAAGGCTTTTCTTGACGTTATTTCCTGTAGGGTCTTAAAATTAACAATAGTGCCATTTAGTCATCACCTGTCCTACTTAAAGGTTTGTTTTGTGCTGCATGCAAAACTCAAACTATAAAGAAAACCAACCTGAAGCAGAACTAAAAGTAGACCTTGTGTTGCTTCTTTTTTATCTATAAAAAGAACACAATTGTCTCATCCCAGCCACTGTTTTCAATCCTTTCTTTCTCTCCACCACAAGTTTTGTCGATTAACTCTGCTCTTCTCTGTTGTTGTTGCTCTATGTAAACTACTAGCCGGTAATCGCCGGTCCCTTGGCTGCGATTCCCCTATTGACTTTGGTAAGAGAAGGGTTTCCTGGATATCACCGCTCTTCCGCTCCTCTGTCATTCTGAGCGTTTGTCGCTCCGTCCACTAACGTGGTCTGCTCTCTCCTCATATCCTCATGATTTTGGTTAATTTCACATGGCGACTAGTCCTGTTTTGTATCAGATTGCTGTGGACTGCTTTATTTTGTGTCGATGTGTTTCCAAGATGATCCTCCAATGTAGACATTGTTTAGGTCACTTGCCCGTACATATGCGGGCAGCTAAAGTGACTGGAGCTTTTCTTTTTCAAAGCTAACGCGCATCATCTCACACTAATCCTACTGCATTTTTTTTCACGAGTTGTTGAGATGTTGTTTGATAAAACCTATCTATTTTGGCCTGTGTTAAGCTTTAAACAGGGATATGTCTTCATCACGTCCCAGATTTGCTGATCTCTGTCAAATGAGGCATGGCGATGCAGTGTCAGCCTACCTGCAGAAGAGAAATGCATGAAGCATCAGTGTGATTTGATCTGTAGCGTTTGCATCCACCCCCTACATTAACATGGCATACTGGGAATGTTAAAAGACTTGGTCTGTTTTCAAAGAGAGGTAATCTAGGATATTTAATCTCATCTGCAGGGGAGTTATTGTCACAAATTTTGGGGAGACTACTAAAACTTCACTTCACTTCACTTTCACTTCATTTTATTTTCAGCTTAAACAACAACATTTAAGTTCACATTTAAGTGAAACAAACCCTATTAAAATCTGACAAGCCAATGCATTTGAACTGAAAGTGATGTTGCGCTCGCACATGTGCTGTACTGGCCCGTTGTGCAATATTTGATGGAAATCTTTGCTACTATTGGGTACAATCAAAACTAAAATTTGTTTTTCTCTATTCTTTCAACTACCTCACCGACTCAGTCGTTTCTTTAAAAAAGAAAAGGAAAGGGAAAAAATGTGTTGTACTGTACATCTGAGTGCTGTAATCATGCCAGTTAACTGTGGCGCTCCACTCTGTGTTCAATTCTACAGGTGACTATGCCGGGTTTCCTGGCTGTGGCCTCCTGCGCCTGCACAGCACTTACCGCCATGACCTGAAGATCTACGCCTCTGACGAAGGAAGGGTGCAGATGACGGCTGCTGCTTTTGCCAAGGTAACTATGTCACTGTATTGGAAGACTAAACTCTTCATATAAATGTTACTTTAGTACTTAAGCGATTCTGATGGAGCTTGAGGAGAGCATTTAAGGCAGCTTTGCATGAACAAGACCCACTTGTTTGCCATAAATTGGAGCCGCTTGGCTTGCTTTCCTGGCCAGTGTGGAATTTATGTTCCCACTGCTCAATATTAAACACAGAAGTGTGATGGCTGTAAAACAGCTAACTGATCATCTGCAGAGGAATGGTCTGTTTGAAGAGTTTGAGACAGGTTGAGAATTTATCTCAAAAATAGAAACAACATTAGTTAAGGTTATGAATGACAACACGAGCGTAGTGATGAGAGTGGACTCATCTACCTTGTTTGCTTCGGGTTACTCGTCACGACTTAACCCTCACATATTCATGTTATTTTTTAACCATTTCAAATCTGATGCATGTCTGCAGGGTCTGCTGGCTCTAGAAGGGGAGCTCACGCCCATCCTGGTTCAAATGGTAAAGAGTGCCAACATGAACGGTCTGCTGGACAGTGACAGCGATTCTCTGACTGACTGTCAGCAGAAAGTGAAAGCCAGGCTGCACGAGATCATGCAAAAGGACCAGGACTTTACAGAGCAGGACTACCAAAAGGTGTTGTCACACATGGAATTGCTCAATTAGTGATAAGCTGTATGGTGCAATTTCTTGTTTGCAAGTAAAGTCTCCAGTTAGTTTAAACAGTTAAATGTGCCTCTTAATCCAGATAAGATTTGGATTATCCAAAGAATTTTGCAACTGCTCATACATATATTGACCGTCTTTTCTGGCATAATCTCTTGCATGGTGTTTGGCAGAACATGTTATCTATTTACTTCTGCTTCTATCGTGTCCCAGTTGGCTCCGACTGGCAGTCCGTCACTGGTGAACTCCATGAAGGTCATAGAGAATCCAGTCAAAACTTGTGACAAGGTGTATGCCCTCATCCAGAGCCTTACATCGCAGATCCGAAAGAGACTAGAGGACCCCAAGTCTGCAGGTACTGAGAACCTGCAGAAAGGATGGCTTTTAAAATGTTTTACTGTTTTTAAAGCCTCAGTATTTATTTTAGTCATCAGGTGTTACGTATGAATAAGACTGATGCAGAAAAGCTTGTAACTGTAGTGTATATATGGACAAGTTCAAAATTGATCCACCCCCCATTTCTTTATATTCTGGTAGGAAAATTGGAACCATGTGGAGTTATTTATTGAAACATGAGGTTAGCCAGCTTTCTTGTCATTTCTTTAAGAAGTCTTCAGGAATAGTTCTCCAGGCTTCTTCAAGTACATTCAAAGCTCTTTTTTGGATGTTGGCTGCTTTTTGTTCTGTTCTCTGATAAGATGATCCCGCCCTGCTCAATAGTGTGTTTTTGTTTTTTGTTTGTTTGTTTTTCTATCCAGTTATGCTTCTATTACATCGGCAGTGTGATTCCTTGGTTTCATGCTGAAAAGTGAAGCTGTTGCAAATAAAACGCTTTCCGTGTGGTTTTGCATGGTTAATCAAAATCTGAGGGTGTTTTTTCTGTATTCATGATTTCAACAAGATCTCTGATACCAGTGACTGAAATCCAGCTCCAGCCATGACAGAGCCTCCACCCTGTTGTACAGGTGGCTGTAGAATGTCAATGTCCCAAGAAGAAATGTGTAAAAACCTTCAGAAAGCTGGAGTATTAATCTTCAAGAACCCTTTTAAAAATCTTTTATATTTAGGGTTTGTTTTTTGTTTTTGTTTTTTACAACAATGATAAAATTAGTCACTGTATTTTAAAAAAAATTTCCCCAGACCTACAGCTTTACCACAGCGAGACGTTGGAGTTGATGCTACAGCGCTGGTCTAAGCTGGAGAGAGACTTCCGCATGAAGAATGGGCGCTACGACATCAGCAAGATCCCAGATATCTACGACTGCATCAAATATGACCTTCAGCATAATGCCTCTCTTGACCTGGAGGACACGCGGGAACTTTTCAGACTGTCCCGTGCTCTGGCTGATATAGTCATACCACAGGTAAATCACATCAATGTCTTTAATTGCATTTTTCCAAGTGCTGCCCAGCACTTATTTTTAAATTCTGCACAAATTTGGCATTAGTAATGAGTGATGTAGCAACATTATTCCAATAGCGCATTTAAAATGTCATGCTTTAGTCAGAAAACCTTACCAGCGAGAGCAGGGTTCAAATCAACCCTCTATTCATTAACATGTCTTCTGAATTAAAGTGCCTTGTCACAATTAACATGTAAAAACATGGTATTTTAATGGATTGCCCTCTTGTTCATTGACATCAGGAGTATGGCATCAACAGAGCAGAGAAATTGGACATCGCCCAGGCTTATTGTGTTCCCCTGATGAAGAAAATCCAGCTGGACCTGCAAAGGACCCATGAGGACGAGGCTGTCAACAAGTTGCACCCTCTGTGAGAATGCAGAACACCACTGAAGTGCACAAACATGTTTATAAGCCACATGCATACATGTATTAACAAGTATTACAGGTGTTGTGTTACTCACTTGTGTCTCTTCCTCCGCCCTGGTGTTCAGGTATTCTCGGGGTGTCATGTCTCCTGGGCGTCACGTCCGCACACGCCTCTACTTCACGAGCGAGAGCCACGTTCACTCCCTGCTCAGCATCTTCCGCTACGGCGGCTTGCTGAATGTATGCAGTGGTTTTGTCACCTTTGACTTTTTGATTTTCTGCAGGTGTGCATGTGCACATTCAGAGGGCGAATTGCCAGAACAGAGCTTTTGTAGCGTTGCACTTATTGCACACAGGTATTCCTTCCAAGACAGAAGGCTTTTTGAAAATGACTTCAGTGACTTGTTCTAATAAAACTAAGTTGAACTGTAGTTCTAAGTTAATAGAACGCTTATGTCTAAATTAGACTGTAGAACTGATGTTTACCTTGCCCTTGCATGAATTTTCACACATCTGTGGTGTTTCAGTCATTGGCTTTAATTTTGCATCTGCTTGTCTTTGCACATCAGGAGGAGAAGGACCAGCAGTGGAAGCAAGCAATGGACTACCTGAGCGCTGTGACTGAACTCAACTATATGACACAGATAGTCATCATGCTGTACGAAGACAACAACAAGGTGGGCAGGATGAAATGAAACGCATACCTCCTCCTCCAAACTGCAGCTTCCTTTGCAGGATTGCAGGCTCCTTTACGCAGCCTCTTTTGTATATTTGTGTCTGTGTGCTGAGCAGGACCCCTCCTCAGAGGAGCGCTTCCATGTGGAGCTTCACTTCAGTCCAGGAGTAAAAGGATGTGAAGATGAAGAGACTATTCCTCTTGGATTCGGCTTCCGGCCGGCCTCCTCAGAGGTGTGTGACCATACCACACTCAAATTGCTGGTTGAAAATGTGAAAAATTTCAGTTTCAAACCAGACAAGAGGCCATTTAAGGTTTCAAAAATAAAAAGCTCCCTTGTAGTTGTGTGTCGACATCAGGTGTGTTTTGTTGCTCAGAGATGTCAGTCACTTCTTTCTTCTCTGACCAATTAGAATGAAGACAAGAAGCCTAATCAGGGCAGTCTGGAGGACCTTTCTCAGGATGAGCCGGACCAGGCACTTCAAGTCTCCGATCCAATCAACATTCAGCGAAGGTCTCCCATGATTCGGAACCGCAAGACTGGCTCCATGGAGGTACCAGACTGCCAGAGTTCAGTGTTAAAATGACAAAATGCGGTCTGGGTGTGAACTAGCTCTTTTGACACTTTTGCCTGTCATTTTAAAAGTGCGATGATGCTCTTGAAGCAACTATTAAACATCAGGTCCCTGAATAATATGTTGAGGATATCAGTATTAATCCCTGGTCTCTTTGGCCCCATTCAGGTCCTCTCTGAAACCTCCCCCACCCATTCCGCCAAAGGCTGCACATCCCATCGACTCTTCATATCCTGCTCACGCCAGTCTCCTGAGATCAAACCAGCCAGTGGCTTAGGTAGGGATCAAATTTTTGGAGCAAGTGTGGGAGAATGTGTGTTTTCGCTGTGTTCATATCTGCGTTCATGGCCCCACCGCTCATTCCTTTCCAGCCGTCATCACTGCGCCTCCTCTTCATCACGAGCTGCAGCTGTGACTTTTTTCCCCCCTTCACCCTCCCACTTTTCCATTTCACTTTCAGTCTGTCCCTCGTTTCTTTCACATAGCTTCCACCCCAGCTTAGTGTAGCTTAGCGGCAGCCGAACAGGATCAGAATCCAAACTATGCTGGCCAGAGGTCAGCAGGGAAGAGTCATGTTCACAGCCAACTGCAGGATCACTGTGTCATATGGTGATCAAAGACGTGTTCCTCTCCCCTCTAGGTGATAAGGTGACAACACGGTGGACACGTTTTACTTGTGTGTATATAATTTAATTTCATATTTCAAAGGCATCCACAGACGCTAATACCTTCATAGTCAAACAAAACCAGACTCTCTAGTTACTAATGTTTGAGTTTTCTTTGTTTAATGTCAGTATAACTGATATTGACTTGACTAACATAAACTAATATAATTAGTAAAGATTATTAATATTGTCATATAGTGACTTGGAGACTCGGAGACTCAATAACTCAAATCCCTGCTCCAAAAAATGAGGTCAGCATATGTGCTGATAATCCAAAGTTCAGGTGTTTGTGAATAGCAGCCAATCAGAAGAAGCCTGGCTGAAAGGGAAGGAGAAGGGAGCAAAAAAACCAAAAACTAAACTAAACCAAAACTTTTTTGTTTAAAACAGTGGATAAACTGAGGAGCTGGACCGAGGACCAGTATAAGATAAATGATTATTTTTAACAGTGAATTATACAAAGCATCTCTAGTAGAGGCCAAGAATAAAAATACCGGTGACCACCAGTTCTACCCCTCAGCCTCCTGGTAGACACAGCTGTGGTATTAATTTCAAAATCCTACGGCGATGCCTGCCCAGCAGGATTAAGCCAAAACCCCATCCGCCGTATGCAGCTGTGGGGTAAAAAGGTTTAGCTGGAACTGAGCATACAGTAACAGGTCACCTTTGAGTATACACCTATTCACGAGACCAGATTGCTGCATTTATTTTTTTCAGATCAAGTTTGATTTTTTTTTCTTCAAATCTTCACATGTGAATAATCAGATCTGACCAATGCATTTAGCTGCATTTGACAAATGTGTGCACGAAGTTCAAAACTCAAGACAGCATTGAATTATACGAATTTTCCGTGCTGTTGCCTTGTTGTGAGAAATGGATGAATCCACAATCTCAATTTCTTCTTTTTCTCACCAAGTTGGCATCCCAAAAATTTGTAACTGAATTTTATGTTGTTGTTTTTTTTACAATGCGCTCGGTGCGTAAAAGCCTTAATTGTGCAACATTAGCATCAAAAGATGTCAGAACAGAAGAAGTGTTATTATATTGCCAGAAACTGAATTTGCTGTAAGCTCACACAGTTGAAACAAATGCAGATGATAATATTACAAGTATTTGACATGTTGCGCTGTTGTAACCACTCCAGATATCAGGTTATCCTGCTAAAGAATACATCTGTGATTTAAAAGAAAAGCGTCTTCATTAACATTAATTGTCCCTTTATAAATAAGTTACATGTTCCTGTTTGGTAACTCCTTCAACTAGAGAAAATTGCCCTCACAAATTCTTAAAAATCTACTCTAAATATTATTAGTCTTATAACAAAACATTTTTGGTCCCATACATAAAGTAAGATATCAGTGTAGGTCCCTTTGACCTCTTTAAATTGTTCCAAATCAGACCGCTCTGGTCCATGAATGTAGTTTAACCTCAGCCTAAATAAAGGGAATTTTGAAGGGCATGCAACATCCAACAACCTGCTAACATGGTGACACTTACAAGCATGACATGCTTCCATCTAAATAAAGACGTGTGGAGAAAACCATAAAACCAACAATGTGAGCAGAGAGTGGAGTCGTGGTGTGGAACGAAACAAGAGATCGAAAGCTTTCAAAGACTAGCGTACATCAACCTGCGTCACTACTTACTGCTGGATATCACCAGGGAATGAGTGATGGTCCTTTAAAAATCCTTATTGTTTTAAATGTCACATCGCTACAGTAGGTTAACGTGCCCCTTTCTGTATAATGCACCGATCGGCGTGCTGCTCGGTGCTTAATTGTCACGTTTGAAAGCAGCAGTTGGCTTTATGTCCACGTTACATTAATGTTTTAAACCCTCTCTGAGTGGAGCCATTCGGTTTGTTGTGTGCTGCGTTGCTGAGGTCACAGTTCTTCAGCACACTGACGCTCCGTCAACACAACGCTTAGTCGGTGTTTCAAATATTTAGATAAAATATTCATTTAAAGTCTTTGGAATTTGAATTTGTCCTACGAATATGAGGATTAGTTTGTTTTATTCATGTACAGCAAGTCTAAAACTCCTGCCTGCTTGATATGCTATTGTGACGGTTGCATAGGAAACCCATATGTTCTGTGCATGTGCACACATCACTCACATAAGGGTCTTACACACTGAGTTACTGTTCTGAAAAACCTTAAAGCTTGCATGTCATCTAGGTATTTTCCTTCTATTATAAACTTTATCAAATCTATATAATAAATATCTGTTTACAGGGTGTTCATACAGGTAAACTCATTTTTCCCAAAGCACAAACACACTCTTGGGCCACACTATTTAGTGTGTAATTAAAAAAAAAAAAAATAAAAAATTCTCACCCTTCACATGTCCACTTCACCCATCCCTTCACCTCTTCCCCCCGCACTCCCACGGCTCCTCCACACAGGCTCGCTCTGCTCTGGCCTCTTCAGTGCCTCAGCCCTCGGGGTGTCCTGTAGTGCCCCCAACCTTCGGGACTACGTCCGCACACACCACCGTCACCACCACCCGAAGCCTCCTCTGTCCCCCGGCAGTTTGCCGTGCAAGAGTGGCATGTTTGGTACGTTCACCACGCTCTCTGTCCTCTCGCATGGAGCTGGTCTTTTCATCTGTATCCATTTGAAAAGCTTTTTTTTTTCCTGGCTTTGAAAAGTCTTGTTTTTTTTTCCTTCCTACTTTATGTGTTTTTTGCTCCTAAATTCATCTTATTGATTTTTGGGGACATTTTTTCCCTTCACATCAAAACAAATCAGCAGCTGTAATATATTGCATCATTTCTCCTAACGATTTTTGCCCTGCAAGAATGGGCAGCAAGGGCACTGATTTGACAGCAGAGGGATTGGCTATGTAGTAAATGCTGAGCATGCAGGCTGGAATACAATTAATACTTTTCCACATCAACTTGACTGCTAACCGATCAACCCGCTCTCCTCTCGGATTCAAGTGTTTTGTCTCTCTGTGCATGTTGTGTTAACATATCCTCTTTATTTCACAATCCTTCGTAAAGTGAAGTAGTGTGTCTATAAGCCAAAAGCCTGGCTTTTTATTTTTTCATATTAATCAAAATTTACGGTAATCCTTACATTAAGAAACTCAGCCTGTTATTTGGAACAGATATAAGACCCAGTAATCCACCTTAAAATAATCCCTTTTCCCTGAGTCTGGTAATGGTGGTAATGGTAAGTGAAAGAAAGCTGTTTTCACAGCCACCAGGGGTCCTTGCAGCAGGTTTAATTACCACAAACATCTGGAATGGATAGATTTCTCATGGTTGCAGCTGGTTAATCACACAAATTTGTTTAGTGCTTCCCAAATATGAATGTGACTCATCTAAAGGTGACGTCATCATTTTCCTATTAGGTGTATTTATGCATATGGATCCGAACTGCAGGGATTTGTTTTCCCACCACTGCAGGTTTTTAAACACAGCAAACTGAGCCGGTCAGTTCATCCACTTGGTGTCACTCTGACTGCAGAGCTACACACTGGCAGATGCTTTACTTTCTCAGCTCTGTTGCATCAGGGCTGTGGGCTGCTGTCTGAGAGACAGGTCAGGGTCTGGACCTGACGTCAGTGCAGTTCATTTAAAGAAAAAAAGAACAGGGCAACAAGAGATGGGTTTATTGCTGGAAAGGTGAAAGGAAGTGCACACTTCAGATCTGAAGATGGCCTGCAGTGTCAGTGGTAAGTGCATTTCAGAGAGGCGGTTCCCAACCTTTATTTTACAGCTTTTCCCAATAATAAAAAATTACCTAATGGATTCTTACCTGACATAAAAGTGGGTTTTCTTCTTTTGTAAACCGTATATTACATGCATAAGCTCTACAGAGCTTTATTTCACCTGTCAGCTCAGTTGTTTTTTTTTTCTGTTTTATTTTTCCCAGTCTGCAGCTTTACTGCGTTAGTAAAAACTACGTTACACCAACACATTGAATGTGATCAACAGCCAGTAGTAGTCAGGCTGGAGGAAAAAGGAGACGTGTTCCTGTCGGTGACATTTAGATCAGCACACTTCTTACGTCCGTTGTTTACTCCACCCACTCCACAGCAGCCTTAGCACTCAGTCTCCACTCTGTTCATTCAAAGATGACCCTCCTTTTCACACAGATCTGTTGGCAGACAGACACTGATGAATCGACAGGCCAACTCTCCTAATCTGTTTTCTCCTTTTTTTTCTTTCCCCCCCCTCGTGTTCAAACACACAGACTCACAAGCAGACTCAGATCCCAGCTGCCCCAGTAATGCCAGTTACCTTTCTTATCTCCTCAGAGCTGTTGTCTATGCCGGCAGTAAAGAGATTTTCTGTGTCGTATGCCAGGCATCCGACTAATGGTATGTCTGCCTTTTTTTTTCGACACTCCTCCAGTTCTCCTCTTATCTTGCATGACCATTTTGTGGGAAAACATTTTCTATGTTTTCTGTTTTGGGAGGTGTGACATGTGGCTACATTACTTACATCATCTCAGATTTTTTGTTTTTTTTTGTTTTGTCTTCCAGCGCACACCTTCAGTGTTTGCGTTTTGTTTTGTTTTTTACTTATGTTGTCAGCCCTTCACCTCTAACATCACCTGCTCTGCCTGCAAGTGTTTTCACCTTCAATCCTGCTGTTCACAGGATGGGTAGCTATGTGGAATATATCGTGTTCCTTAGATATATCTCCACGGGTAGATAATCAATGCACATAAAAAAATTAAAAAATCCTCACTGGCATATGCACTGTTGATTCTAAAATAATTTATTTGACAAATGTCTGGGTTTTTGCTATAAATGCCAAATAAAACTTTAAATAGGAGGTGTTTATCTTGTTTAAGTTTAACCCCAGTTTAACCACACACATACTTACAGTGATGTCACAGTGTACTGACCACACACATACTAGACGTCCACATCACTGATGCAGGGTCATAAATTCTAAATAAAATCTGGACCGTGTGTGTGTGTGTGTGTGTGTGTGTGTGTGTGTGTGTGTGTGT